TCTTCCAAAAATAGAATTGGTGTTGCGTAACTCGTCGAGTGTACAAGTCCGTCGATTAAAATAGGGACAAAGCAACAACGCATCAACGTTCTGTTAGATAGTCAAAGTAGTGGATAAGATAATATTATGTGTCGAAAATATTTTCGAAATTGAAAAAGTAACTCGTATCTAATGCCCAAGTAATATAATACTTGGTCAGTTATTGCATAATACGAAGCCATTACTATTTTCCTGAACACGGAAAGACACCCCTTGTTGAAAAGAGGTCGATTAATAAACTCGTACAATAACGAACTCCTTGATCGCATTATTATTCAGATCTACTCGGGACGGTACACGTCAAACATAGACGTGATGTGGAGAAGCAGAATTTCTAATCTTGTGTCAAACGCTTTCGTCGGTTGATAAACCGGTGTCGTTTTGTTGAGTGCTAAGAGTTTGTTGTTGAGGACTTGCGCGTGTATTGTAGCAAACTATCGTGTATGCGTAATATGGAGCAGTGGCAAAAAACTGTTCGTTGTATATTAACTATTAAATAACGTGTATCTGTGCTTTGTATTTGGGAGAGAGGACACTGTTATGAAGAGATTCATGTGGCAATAAAACGCTGCGTTTGAGTATACATGAGAGAAGCATCTGCTGTATGAATAGACGCGTGTTTGCATTGCTAAATGACGATGTTGGTATTAATAAATGTGTTGTTATTTATGCACAAGTCAACGTCCCTTTACATTGTTAAAAATTGTGACAATGATAAATTAGTGGTAGCACTATGACAACGTACATGACGCATTTATACTGTAACACGCATTTGATTTACCGGCCGCTGCAAAAATCATTAAATGATAGAAATAGATTTACGTATTACGGTAGTTGTATCGTTGTATCATCGTAAAATCAATTCCTTATCGTTTAGTCGTAATAAATGAGCAAATATTTTACTTTAATTGAATATAACCAACAATATTAATGTGGGGGAAAAGCTCATGTTTGAGCTTTGAGTCTGTTTGGACACGTCTTGATGTTTAGTGAAATTCAAACATTAAAGCGGACTAAGGACCAACGTTTCAACCAAAGTGACAAATCTCTTCTCTAAGACTTTGCAACTTGGCTTATTAGTATAACTGAATATATTCATATTATCAAATTCAGTTTACAGCCCTAATAACAAAAAAATTGTTTTATTAAAACCCCACTCAGTAGAAGAAAACATATTAAACTTGGATACTGTGTTTTATAATATAAAGTTATAACTATATAATGAGCTTATCAACGGCAAACACCTCCCAATCAACCCATGTAAAATAATTACTAGTAGACCTGATTGGAGCTTGATAATAAACGGTAGTACTAGCAACAGAAGTTAAACTATAGCCACACTTATGATCACAACCACCAAAATATAAGTCTCTATTACCAAAATTGGGCAAACCATTTGGGTCTTCATAAATAGCTTTGTCAATTTGGTCCTCTCTAACAAAGCTTATTATGTTCTTTTCAATATCATTCTTACCCAGTGAAAATATAAAACTTTCTTTAGCTGCAACATATCCGCTTTTACTAGTGCTCCATGATAATGGGTTATATCCACCAAGTATTTCTCCTGTATCCTTTACCCTTCCTACAGCAACTGTTGGTCCTTTATTTGCACACATTCGCCGAAAATTTTTAGCTATTGTCTCCTCCTTGTTATTATCACGATTATCTCTGCTTTCCCGATAAAGCAAGGTCAGTTTATAAGAAAAATTTTGTTCACGGGCTGTACCTTGTACTTGTTCAATTCGGTCGTTCTGTTTTGTTTCTGCGATTTTCTGTAAAATCCATGATGCTTGCTGCTCGTTGATGACAACTGAATCGACATCGGGCAGTTTCCTTTGTCCTCTTCTCTGTGGTAATATTCGCGTTTTTGGTTTATAGCTATTTTGCATGTGGTAACAAAGTAAGTCAGATCGCAACTCTCTTGGAAATAATTCAATATACGGAACAACCCTTTCACTAAATTCTTGGGATGAAATGTTAAAAAGCCTAATATGAGGTATACAGTCTGCCATTATGTCTTTGATTGCATTGACATCATCAGTTGACCAGCTGGCTGGATTATCTGTAAGTCCAGAAATTTGATTAACAGCCCACTGTATAACTGACATCCAAACATCACCTTCATCCATGTTAAGCTCATCATTCTGGAGAAGACTAATAATAGTCGACTTTGTTAAATACGTCATATTATTAGGTTTGAGGATGAGATCTGGAAATGATAACATAAGTTGATTGCAGTAATCTCCGAGTCTCTGCAGCGAGTCTGTGGATGATGCATAGTTATAAACTGTTGTTTTATCCATTTTTCATGTTGTTTGATCAAATAATCTCCAATCGCAGTACAGAAAGCGTTTAACCCAAACTTATCAGCCCCTTTCAGAAGAACGATCCAAGATACAGCCTCACATGAATGTGAAGACACTTTCCCAGTGTAAATAAATCTACAATAACAAGTGTAAGTAATATTTGTAAATATCAATAAAGTCGCAAGCATACGTTGTATAAACCGCAACAGCGATATAAATAGACAATTTCTCATCATTACACCACAACCATTTTATGCTGCAATAAAAGGTATTATGTATCCGACGTGAAGGACAAGTCGTAAGTTGTAAGTAGCTTTCACATCAAATTTACCTAAGCAGGATTTCAAAAATATCAGGCGTCATGTCCTCGAAAACCATGGCAGGCCGTTGAATTTCGCTAGAGGCTCCAGTTAGCGTGTCTTCAAAATATGAGCTCCGTGTACATAGAACCAAGGAGTGAGCGAGGAAGATTTTGTTGTTTGGTTCCCGGCCGATATCGGTATGCTTTCCGCTTTTATAAAGCTTTTCATAATCCGACGAAACATCAGAAAGTAATTCAACTATGTCGCTCATTTTCAAGGTTAGGATGTCTGTATATTGCAGCGGGCATTAAGCTATATCCTAATTTAATTGGCTGACATACAGACACCCGGCGGATGTGACTGTTACGCGATAAAAATAAAAACCGCAGTTAATAGTTAATTCAACAGCCACGCTCTCGCCGACAGGAATTGAGCTATCGGTACGTTTTCTGTTTTGTAAAGCTTTCCATAATCCCACGAAACATCAGAAAGTAATTCAACTGCGTTGCTCGTTTATGTTTTTCTAAATGTAGAATTATCGTTCTGGCCGTAATTGCAGTCAGAAAATTCAATAACGCAAACCGATAGTGTTATCCTCGTCTATTGGGATTGCCAATTGAAATCATTTCCATGAATGGTAAAAAAGAAAGTAGTATGCATAGCCGTAAATAGGAATGTATCTTACGATGATAATTCGTTAAGAAACATCATACTTTGAATATTATGATTACATGACCTTCACGCCTTAGATTAAATGGGCATGCTGCGACAAACCATCAAAAAAAGGTATTTTATTACAAACGACTGTTAATAACGGGCGGCATTTGATTGATTTAAATGCTCGTTAACACGGCAATGCTTAAAAAATTTTAAGTGCGAACGTTTGAGTATGTGAGTTGTATTTGTTAAGCTAATATATCAGATAGAGATAATTAACTAAACATTCTACGGGTTCATCGATAATTTCTTTGTCGTCAGGTGCCTCATAAACAACGTTTCGAAAATTCGATAACTTCCATTGAATCTGAGAGATCGAGCTTTTTGCATAGTTTCATCAGAAATCGAATCTTTAACTGCACAGCTATTGTCTGAGAGATGCGGGTTTGGTAGATTGTGAGGAACTTTATTCACGGCAAGGTGCTCGCTGGAAATAAAACCCTGTTTAACCTGTTGATACGGGTTCGGTAAAATCACGCAATTCGGTACTGCATCAGCCGGGAGTTGAATTAGGGCAATCTTGGAAAGCCAAGTATTCTACTACTACTAATACATAAGAATCACGTGTGTGCATTTATGGAGACTGCTTCATATTAGAATGACTCATTGGGATTGTGAAATTGATTGCACATGCAGAATAGGGAGAGTATGTACATTAAAGAGAGTGTGTGTAATATTCTTTGATTATCTAATCAAGTTAAAGTTTGCTATTTATCACAATACTACTACCCTACCATAAATTACGGGATTTTTTGTCAATTACATAGTAAACCTTTATCTTTCTATTGCATGTATCTACTACGTAAGTCACAACAGTTTTCGTACTGATTTAAAGATAATTAGTTGTACTTTCGAGAGAAATGGTGATATATTTAGTTCCGTTATCATTCCGAAGCTGCAGCTAAATAAAGTGACAGTATCTATGTTGCAATATAGAAAAACATATTAATATGTGCAATGTAAACAGTGCCATTTATCGAACTGCAACTTCAGAATAATAAGGGAACAAATATATCACAATTCTCTCCAAATCAGTAAAAAAATCGTTGTGACTTACATAGTATATATGTACAATAGAGCCCTTTAAAAAAAATAATAATTTCGTATGTTTTATTATTATTATGTAATTATGGTAGGGTAGTGTAAATTCGCAATCACAATAACGTGAATAATAATAATTTCAAGTTTGAGAAATAGCCAATCAACTTGCATTATCCTAATATAAACTCTTCACTGATATCTCTCATACAATATAAATTCTACTTAAATATAATTCTGTAATTTACTTTTCTTTGGGCTTGCTGAAGGTGTTCCAAATGATCCGATTTGCTTGTCATGTACTACTGCTGAATTTTTCCTCTTGCGACCTCTTACTCTATGTGCACGTGAATCAGAAAATAAAACTTTATTTGTATGGTCACAAATTGCCTTCAATGTACAATGTGTAATGTGGCCTGAATGAGATAAGCTGATAATGAGATGCTGTATAATTATATAATGTCAACTATTGTACATTGACAATGATACAGAACCTTGTCATCTGACATAAGCACATAAAATCCTTCAAGAATTGCAAGCAATCTCTGGGTGTTTGGCATCCTGGTCTGGGAAAGTCTTCCAAAGCATCCTGTATGTCTCATGTCAAAAGATATCCATCTTCACAGGTGAAATGAACCACCCAGGCCTCCTGTGCAGAGGCAAGTCTTTTGTATTCTGGTGTCTTATTAATTTGCTGTTCAATGGACCAAGTTACAAGTATCTCCTGTAGCCAAGAGTTTGAGAAAAACTGTTGGTTCTCCTGGCTTCATAATATCAGTCCTTGTCATTTAAAGAACGGAAGTGCCACTGCCCAGTAATTGAATAAAGTTGCACACTAAGCCATATTGAGAGGATCTCCATCATATACACTCTCTTGAGTGACTTTTGCTCTAAGGCAACCATTCACTTTCACAGCTATGGATTTCCATGACTGATTAGGAGCTAGCACCATCAAGTTTTTGTCAAAGAATGTGAGAGTTTGTTTCAAGGTCCCAGTTACATCTAAAGGCAGACCATCTACCATCAACATGATGTTGAAATGGAATCAAACCACGCGGGGGAATATTCTTTTTTTTTTTTTCAATATGTCTGACACACAGAAGAAACAACCACGTGGGGGGGGGGGATTACATATACATGACTTTTTTTTCCCAACCAACTATAACGTCTGATGCGCGGATGAAACAGCAGACGGTTACATGACTTTTTTTTTTTTAGTGGGGATGGGATATGTCCATGGAATGACCATTCGCCAGATGAAGACATCTATTAAAGGTGATGACATTCTGAATTTTGTTGCACTTTCAGTTTGATCAGGTTGTAAACCACCCTGAGCAGCTAAGAATCTAAATCTGGCCATTCTCAGATGTTCAGGATCCACAAGTTGTACACAGTAGTCAAAAGCCCCAACGAAGTGTGATTGAAGAAAATCCAGAGCATTCTTAAATCTCAAATCTTTAAAGACATCAACCATTCTCTGGAATGTGCCATAGCTAAGAACTTTATCCTCCAAAGTCTGTAGAGCAGTCTGTTTCCAGTTTTCCAAAGTAACCTTCTTCGAACCAGGTTCAATCAATGTGTCATAGTAATAGATCAAATGGCCACAGATAGCAATGAGTCCTGCATGACTGATTTGAATAGTTATTCAGTACAAGATTTCGAACTGAAAGCAGTGATTTACATACCTGTCAGTCAGTACAAAAATGATTATTATGTAGTGTATTCTGCAAACTAAAATTAAAGGGGATCCATTACTTATTTCAGGTGAGTGTAATCACAATTGCCTATTTTGATTTGTTGATCAAACAAGTCATTGTCTCCTAAAGTTTGGTCCAGCTGTCTTTCTAATGATGTCAGAGTTGTAGTACTTGGAGCAAGTTTATTGTCATTATTACTGAAAAAACTGTGGAATTATTAGCAATTATAAAGAAACAGATATTTGCTTTATGTTTCCAGCTTTCATTTCTTTCTTGGTTCATCATGCATTGGCATCAATGTTCATTTATGGGTTTTTATTTTCTGCCTATCACACAAGGATTGTCAGAAAATACACTGCCACTGATTGATAGGGATGTGCCTGAATAGTATAATAAAACCAGAGTTTAGAAATCAGTGAGAGAAAAGGTTCAAGATATCATACACATTTACCTATTACCCTCCAATAGTATGAGAAATGCTGGAAATGTGTGTGCAAGGACAAACCCTCATAATCTGTCCATGCATCCCCAAGGAACTTTGCATAATAGCATGCATTTTGTAGGTATGCACAGGCCTAAGGCCCCCATTCCATAATCTGTTTTCCCCTCAAAGTTACACACTATGAAGTTTGCTTTTGGTGTAATCTTCAGCATCATACCATCTGTTAAACAGTTGGATATCTCAATAGGAACCAAGCCAATGCCAATGTACTTCATAAACTTTTGCATAACATTATTTCGTTCTTTTTCATCTTCCATGAGTTCCGAGATTGTTGGGGCCAATTCCTTGACCAGCTTTATGTATTTTTCAAGATTTCCCTGCTGATTATGTAACTCTTTTACCATCTGGAGAAACTTATCAAATATGCTATGGAAAAACTGAATTGGGATATCAGAGAAGTTGTGTGGGTCAATGGTGATTGATAGGAGGTAATGTCTGTGGGTCTATTCCTTTTTCTCTCATATGCTGAAGATGGCATAATTAATAATATTTTCATCATCAAATTTTGAACAGAAAGTATAGTAAATTTTTCAATGTACAATATTACAAAACTTTAGTATAATAACCTTCTCCCAATAACTATATTACAACCCTTCGTTTCACCTGTACACACTGCTTTATATCCCCAACGCCCGAGTCACGAAGTCGTTACCTGTTTGAGTGTCTAGAGATGACAAAATGTAACAGTAATAGTAATGACAGCGAGAAGAGCGGTGTCGTCAATCATGCCATAATAACTGCTTAAAGCTATCATATTCCCCCGTTACTGAATACCCAACACTCAAGCACAAACTTATAATACAAAATCCCACATTACTTTCCCCGCTACTCTACCCTATGTACACACTATGTTTCCAACGCCAAATCACAAAGTCGTTACCTGGCTGAGATGCAAAGGACTTAAGTAGGCCAGCCTTAGTTCGTTTATATTCATCCTCGTCAATAAGACCTTCCTCAAGAGAGGCTTTCAATAGCCGAAGACTGTCTTGCAAATTCATGGGAATGAATACGGTTTTAGTTGCGCGCGCGATGTTATCGAACGCTGATCAGTGGCTTAATCAATGACGTATTGGACCTGATGAAAATAGTTACACAGTCTCGCTTTATAGTGGAGATAAAAAATCTGACAGATTTCTACACTATAACGAATATCCACAAAAAAGAAATCTCACCATATA